TGGAAGAAGAAGAAAAAAAACCTCTATTTTGAACTTGAAAGCAGAAAGAGTACTCGTCATCCTGCTGTTGTAATTGATGATCTGGACTTCGCAGATGACATGGCTCTGCTCACAGGAATAATCAAGCAAGCACTGTAACTACTATTGCGTCAGCAAAAGTAGGCTTGAATCTTAACGCGAAGAAAACCAAGCTTATGGCATACAACAAGTTGTTCCCTTCTTCATCCAAAACAGGAGCGGTGACCTAATATATCAAGAAAGGGAGGTCACCAAGAGGGTAGAGGTAGTCAAAAACTTTAAATACCTGGGTTTCAACATGCAGAACTCAGAAAAAATCGAAATAATAAAAGTGCTCGCCTAGAGTAGCTGCCATAAGCTAAATAAAATATGGAAATCCAAGTTATGGAAAACCAAAAATTAAACTTCCTGATTGTCACAGAAGAATCGATACTGCTGTATGCAGTATGGTAGTGGAGCTTGGACGCTGACTTCTTCTTCTTACGGTGACTAAATCCCTTGAAAAGCACATTAATTGCTGATACAAAAGATGCTCCGTATTTGTCTGAACATCTTATGAGAGCAAAAACTCCCCGACGAGCAACTGTATCAGGAATTGTCTGCACTTACGGAGGAGATCAAAACTCGCAGCATTAAACTTGCATGAAACCGATTTCAAAATCGACAACCCCTATTTATAGTGGACGTAAACACATAACCTTCTGACGAAGGTAATAATGACAGTAAGGAAATGTGTTATGACGTTAATCCCATGTGTGAAGTGTTCGTTGCTGACTCCATAGTCACCTGGTGAACGTCTTTGATTGTTAACTACCTATTGACAAGTTTCTTGCAGGACCACAAGTGTATATTATAATCTTCTGTGCTCTGGTTTTCAAACTGAAAGAGCTGGTATGGTGGTATCAATGACAAACCCTCGAAACGTCACAGAATTCTCAGTTTAGACATAATGTGCTTCAAACCTTATCCGTGACCTAGGGCACGTGTACCTCATTTTTATTATAAGATTAATAATCCTTTTCTTCGAGGTTTTTTTTTTGGGGGGGGGTTGTCACCGAACATGTTGTAAGCCAACTTACCCTGCTTTTTACGAGGTGGGGGTGGGGTAATTCTATGTAACTTACAAACTACTTATTTTCAGGGGATAATGTACAAGTAACATTAAATCATAAGAGTAATTTTGGTGCATAATGCATCATTTTGACGTCAATTTAGGTGATTCTGCTGAAACCGTGTGAAGATATTTTTCCTGTAAAACTGCACGAAATGAAACAAAAAGGGTGTATGACAGAATGTTAAGGTCTGCTAAGACTTATAATGCCCATGACAAAACGGAAGCCAACATGACGTAAAATGTTCTGTGAACGCACTTTACTTTAATTATAGTTTCACTATGTTCAAGTTTGATTAATGACGTCATCAATTAGCACACATAGTGAGAATTTGAATATGGTTGAAATTACTAAGAATAACTTTTACTACTGATTAGAATTTAAATTTTTTGGAGGATACTATGCTAGTTAATTAACTACAGCTATTTATTATCCTCCACTAGACTAACTAGGGGTGGTAGGTCTCACATACTGATTTCGATTCGTTGCAAAACATCTACATTTCCAATGTTGTACATCGCCACACTAGTGACCGAATGAAAGAAACTAGAAACGCCAATTAGCCAATTAGTTAATAGCCATGATTTACATGAAAGATCATGTGGTTCTTTATTATAACTCACTGACACAAGAAACACTTGTCAGGTAGGCATATAAGAAATTATGTAATTTATACGATTGTGATTTTTTTTCATCTTGTATATCGACACATAGTAAAATGTTGGTGCTCTTGATACGTATATTTTCAATAGATTTGGGATAAGGTGTAATGTAATATGGGTTACTAGACTACTATGTTAATTGTAGGTAAATAACACATTCATAGCTTGGCTATAGAGTTATGATATTTAGTATGTTGGTAGGTCTTAGAAAGGTAAAGAACAATGTCAACTACAGAAGAACTTCCGGTTTTTGTAATCCTGAACATGCTATGGTCTTGGAATCTTGGTGAAAGGTAGCTATTTCTGTTACAAATAATTGGTGTGGGTTTTGTCCCTCTAGCAACGTGTTCTGGAACTTTAGGGTAGTTTCTGACGAAATCGTTTTTAGCGGATTAGTCAAATAACAATGAATATATAAACAGTTGGATAGTTATCCCCTACATTATTGATAAGAATTTTTATTTGCATAATGTAAACTGTTGATTTTTAAGATAAAAAAAGGCATTTATGCCCTGCATTCTAATGCTTAAGCAGGAAAGTTTGACATACCTACCAAAACACTTCAATACAGTATCTACTTTCAATATGGTATGGGTTGTGCAGCTGTTAGTGGAGGTAACCCAATTATATCCAACAGCCAATCAGCAAGACGAGTAGAGGAAAGCTGCATGCCTATTGGTTGATTCCTGTGCATACCAGACAGAGGACTCATGGATAATCATTCCTAACTATATTGTAAATTGTGACCTAAAAACAGCCAAATAATACAAGTTATTATTGTTAGTAGATATATAAAGCATACCTAGACCAAGTTTCAGCAGATTTGAGTGTAATATAAGGTCTCCAGGACCCCAAATGTACAGATTTTGTTGAAAAATGACCCCCCAAAAAATTATGCCTGTACCGGAAAAAAAACACCTGGGGGTATTTGCCTGAATACCAAATTTTATGTTATTTGGCCCAAAAATGAAGGAGTTGAATCAACTTAAAGGCAGGATGAGAAGAAGGAGACGACATAGTGGTGAAGCCATAAAAAGCTATTTTACACGTAAAAAAAAACAAAATAATATCTAATACTATTTGGAATTCGCACTAAAGAATCACCGAGTACATTAAGCTAGTGTAAATTATCAGGACTCTGTAACTAACACACATAATTTCTCAAATATACAAAAGTATACAATAAATCAAGGATTGCGAGCTGACAACCGCATTAAGAGGACCACCTCTTCAATGTCTACCTTTCTTCATCCAAGAAGTTGTGTCCGACACTCTCGGGCATCGCCACCTCCAATGGAGTTTGCTTTTGCTACGTGGAATGTGCGAGGTCTGACTTCAGCCATGAAGAGACAGACTCTAGGTACAGATTGCGAACATTATAACATCGACATCGCATGCATCCAAGAGACAAAAGTAACTAGCCAATGCGAACAACTCCTTCAAACAAGTCACATGAACTGATCCTCATGGAACAAAAGAAATCAATCCACCATGGGCTTGGCTTTGTGATAGGACCTAGACTACAAAATCACGTCATCGCCTACGGGCGTGTCAGTGACCGCATTGCCACATTGGACCTGTCCCTCCCTCTTAGAAATGGCAGGACTGCCAAGTGTCGCATTGTAAACGTCTACGGCCCAACAACAGAAAAAGCCCAAGAGAACCCACTTCTCGTGGAAGCACTGTATGATGAGCTAAGCAATGCTATCGAAATCCCCTCAAGATGGCTGCTGTTTGTATGTGGAGACTTCAACTCCAAACTTGGTAAACTAAGCAAGACAGACCATGACGCAGGACTAAACCTGTGCATAGGCTCGTATGGAATGGGTACAAGAAACAAAAACGGCAAAGCACTGGCATCTTTTATCAGTGCCCATGGGCTCTTTGCCACAAACACAGCTTTTAAACACCCTGTCCGCCACCGCACATCTTGGGTAGGACACATTGCTACCCCCCAAAGAGCAACAGACACAAAATCTACAACGGCAGATTTCAACCAAATAGATTATGTGCTATGTAAACTGAACTGCAATCCGCTCTTGAAAGACTCGCAGTTATGGAGGCACGGACCTGAACTCAGACCATAAGCCGGTAGTAACACGTGTCAGAATGGACAATGTCTACCTGGTCCATAAACAGAAGAGAGAGAAAAGCCAAGTCAAATACGACATTGCAAAGCTCACAAATAACACTAGCACCCAAGAGCGATATAAGAAAGACCTAGAAAACCAAGTGGCCAACGCACACTATGACAGCAACCCAAATGAAGCCCTGGACACCCTACTGAAATGCATGCACAAGTCTGCTGCTAAAACCCTAGGGGTTCTCAGAAACAACCAGCATAGGCAACATACCAATGACCCCCATGTTGCAGAGCTGTCAGAGAAACAAAAAGCCTTAAGACTGCTCATATATCAAACAGCGAAGAGCAAAGACCGTAGCGCCCAAAGAAAAGAACGTAACACCATCCTTCGCCAAATAGACAAAAGACTGAAAGAGCTTGAGATTAAAAGAGACTTAGAAATGACTTAGCGGATGAGATTTCTTCAACAGACGACTGCAGCAAAATGTTTCGGGCAGCACGCGCCCTCAGGGTTGGAACCTCCACTCCATCCCTCTTAGTCCACAACACCGAAGGTCACTTCATTGCTACAGACAAAGGCAAAGCAGATGGTATAAGAGAATGGTTCCTGCACCAGTTCACTGACCCAGATGGAGAAAAACTGGACCCATTCCAAGGTGACCCTAGCCCCCTTGAAGTCCCTATTTCAGAGGACGAAGTCAAGAGAGCCATAGCATCCTTGAGAAATGGGCGTTCAGCAGGACCTGATGGAGTCAGCAATGAGTTATTCAAGTATGGAAGCGACATTACATCCCCAGTCCTTACATCCATCTTGAACTATGCCTTTGAACACCAAGATCCAATAGAAGCCATTGGCGATGGTACACTCATTGCCCTACCCAAGCCCAAGAAACCCCCTGGTCCACCGGCGAACTTACGACCTATTACCCTCTTGAACAGTATTAGAAAAATCCTGTCCACTGTTGCGCTCCATCGCATCAGAGACAAAATAGACAACTTCACGGGGCCATATCAAAGTGGATTCAAAAGGGGACGAAGCTGCGCAGACATAGTGTGGGCCCAACGCATGCTAGTCTCAGTTGTCATGTCCAAACACTGGGACTTCCACAAGATGGGCATAGACATGTCTCGTGCTTTTGATACCGTAAAACGATCAAAAATCCTAGAAGTGCTAGACCAGGCTGGGTGTAACAACGACGAACTGCGATTGGTGAGACTACTGCTGTCAGGTAGGAAGCTGAAGGTACGTGTTCGGTCGACACACTGACTTTGAAACATCCATTGGTTCCCCACAAGGAGACAGTCTGTCGCCAGTGTTGTTCACCTGATACCTTGCAGCGGCATTAGAAACAGTGCGGAGATCTTCAGCGAGACCTAATTCTCCCGTCTCTGAACTGGGCATGCCCCTAGAAATGGAGTATGCAGACGACGTGGATTACCTAGATGAGGAAAAGGCCCCGCTAGAAAGACTCTTACCTGTTGCGGCAAGGAACCTCAAAGACTCAAACCTGTTTGTGAATGAAGGTAAAACAGAATTCACACACGTCTACTTGGCTGACAAACCACGACGAGGAGAAGAAGAATGGAGGAAGAGCAAAATCCTGGGGTCCCTCCTCTGTAGTTCAGCTGACATAGAAGCACGCTGCATCATGGGAAACATTGCTTTTAGATCCTTCTGTAAGATCTGGATCAGAAGATCTAGGGTTCCCCTGACAAGGAAGCTACAACTGTACAACGCCTGTTGTGTTTCCATCATGCTATTTAACTGCAACAGCTGGGCAGCACCTAGGACAGTCATAGAAAAGCTGGACACCTGCCACCGCAAACATCTGCGTGCCATCACAGGTCTTCAATGGCCAAGAAGCAGGGTGACCAACGATACACTGTACAAAGTCTGTAATACGGAACCTCTCTCCGTGAAAGTTGAGAAACTCAGGTGGTCTCTGTTCGGACATATTCTCAGAATGCCACAGGACACACCTGCACAAAAAGCTCTGGAATTTTCATTCCTTAGCTCTAAGAGATATAAAGCTCGCAGGGGGAGACATTGTATCAACCTACTCAACCTACTGAAGGGAGACCTGAAGCGCAGAAAGCTAGGCCCTCCCACAACAGAAAAGAAACTCAAGGAGCTTAGAGAGCTCGCGAAGCAGAAGACACGGTGGAAAGAGATGAAGAAAGACTGAATGCGGCTACAGGACATCTCCACACGACTGTAGACGCAGAACACAGTGAATGATGATGATGATACAATAAATCTTCATTTAATAAGTTAAATCGTGTATGTGTCATTATATCATACCCGGGCCGCGATAACGTTCGATAACGGGTTCCGGACCGGGCCGTACTTTACGGTACGGCCCGGGCTCCATGCCTTCCGTAGAACAATTCAAACACGTTTCAGCCTAACCACGTGCGCCGCTTTCGAAAATTCGAATACAGAATCCGAACGTTGGAACTGATGTTGTTGCATACGTTTAATAGATTTTAACCCGGATTGGGTCAAAGATTTTTACCGGATAATAAGGAATAGCCGGTATATGTCTTAAGAACAGATGTCTGTAAAAACCAAGCAAAGCATAGAAAAAGTGGCAAAACTAAAAAAAAAATCAAATTTTCTCAAACTTTGTGTGGTGGCAGGGCCTTGGCCCAAACCTACGAAAATAGGTAAGTTTTTTACCCCTGGTTGCCATGGCAACGGCCATTTAAAAAAATGGCGGATTTTCACCTTGTGAAGGCATTGGTCTCACCCAAAATATAACATCTTTGACCTTCTGTGTCTTACAGACAGTAACACGTGTTTTCGTGTCTCTAGCATATTTTCTTATCCATATTTTAACGAAGAAAATGATATAAAGTTTTGCTCCAAATGTTTTGCGATGAGCTGTAGCCTGTTTTTGTAAAATTTCAAAATTGAACAAAAAAAATGGGACGTTTTCAGCGAAACATGGCCGCTTAAAATGCAGATGGTATTTTTGATTTTTGATTTTTGGCACAGTTATGGCTTAGATCTTTGTACACATTATATTAGAAAATATTTTGGGGCTTTATGGGGCGGACCACAGTAACCCCAAGACTAAACCATTAATAGACCTCATTCCAGATACAGTCGCCATATTGATTCTATTCTCGCGAGAGCACATCCTTGGCGTGAGCGCGCGTGACCTCGCACGAAAGCGAGGCTTCCGTGTGGTCGCGGATTCCCTGTAGTACGTTCTAACACAGTCGATAGCGATGTTCCAACTTCAACGGTGAGTTTTGCCCGTCCAGTGTAAAATATTGCCGGAATTACTGCTTTCACGGGTAGAGAATGTTGTTGTGGGCATGTGGGATCGATTTCGACGGGTAGAAATGCATGTTTCTTCCGATTTTGAGCAGTTTCGGACGGGCGGCATTGTAGCGTATGTGATGCACTTTGTTTACATGCTACGTACGCAGCTAACTTCGAAAAATATCGAGTTTTGCCGGATATATAGCCACAAAAACCTAAAAATGTTGGCCCTGGAGCCTTGTGGGTGGAAATTTATGGAGTGTTTAGCGATTTCTCCGTAGTTTTATCGGTTATAGCGTCTAATGTCCGGCCGTACGTAGAGTGAAACTTTCGTAACTTGGGGAGGGGGGCGGTTGTTATTCTAACGTCCCCCGTTTATTATTATTATTTGTCGATGGAACTTTACTAGAATAGAACGGTACAAAAACATAACTTACCTTGGTGAGATCCTGTTGGGTAGACATAGGTCTCTTGAACGAAATTTTGGCGGTCGCCCTGAAGATTCATCGATTACAACGTCAAAGCGCCCAGCCAGGTTTTTAGTCACTCACGCAGTGTGGGAGAGGCGGGCATGTGTTTATCTAAACGTCCTACGTTTTTGGAGACGGGGATTTTCCAATGTTTACAATATTATAAGAACATCATAAACAGTGTATGGATGAGATCCTGGCTTCGGGTGGTTTATGTTCTCATTTCTTTATTCATATTTATATGTCTTTGTCTAAAATTTTAACATTTTTTAAAACTCTTTTCAGACAAACACTACCTGCCCGAAGAGGGAAAAGAAATTCAAGTCTGCAAAGCACAACACAGGACCATAGAAACAGTGCCGCTAGGACATCTACCTATCACATGGTCTTTGCCCCACTCATGTTGTCAAATATGTATTATTTGGTTGTTGCCAAAAGGTTTTAGTTTGATCCTATTGTTGATTGATTTTATCAGGCACAAATACTGTTGTAGTGTAGATACAATGTAGTGTTTATTGAGTACAAAAGGAAAGAGCTACTACTAGTACATGTAATAGGAAACAGATGTGTGAACAGTATGTACATGTATCAGAAACTGAAAACAGTTCAATAACACTCTTTAATTCATTCCTAATAAACCATGTATAGTTTAAGTTGGTTTTCCACCATTTGCTTCTCATTGAAACATGTAGCCATGATTCATTTTTCACTGGATCATGTATGAGTAGATTATATACATGAGAGTACCCAAAATTCCAAAATACATGTAAGTTAGGAACACTTGCTTGAAGTTGCTTCTCACCATTATTTTTATTTGTGAAAAAACATGTAAATGTTCTTGTAACCTTCAGAAACATGTAAATACAATGCCACTTCAATGAACATGACAGTTTCAGTAGTTCTGTACAAGTGGTGGTAAAAAGTTTGTCAGGTAAGCATGGTGAAGATGTGGTCTGTGATGGCAGTGCAGTCGGTGATGGGGATGTTGCCAGGTCAGGTTGAAGTATAGCCATGTTGGTGTCGAGACCAGGATCCGAACAACTAGCGGAGGAGTCCTCAGGTTCATCAATCTGTAAAGTCAATCAAAAATGCAATGACAATGTTTGAGTGCAACAATATAAAGTGTTCTTTACAAGAAGTAAAATACCATGTGAAGCAATCCAATTATGTTTTTATTAGCATCCAAAAAGAAAATTATGCGGACATTACTGATACAAAACTTTATGGAATAAAATTCAAACTATGTACATTGTAGTTGACTAGCAACATTTACCTTGTTAAGTCCACACTCCTTTCTTTTTGAAGTTTTTCTTGGTGGGAGAACATCTCTTCTTTGGAGCTGGTCTCTCTGGTTTCTGCTTCACCCAGAAGTGAAGGACGGGTGCTGTACCTGAAATCATACAATATGGAAATTTTCAATAACAGTTATATTTTTTTAGCAATGCCAGATTAACAAGAAGAATATTATTTGTAAGAAAAGTTTAAAGTTTTAGACAAAGACATAAATATAAATAAAGAAATGAGAACATGAACCACCCGAAGCCAGGATCTCATCCAGACACTATTTATGATGTTCTTATAATATTGTAAACATTGGAAAATCCCCGTCTCCAAAAACGTAGGACGTTTAGATAAACACATGCCCCGCCTCTCCCACACTTCGTGAGTGACTAAACACAGTGCGCGGGCAGGTGGGAATACGGCCAGACTGGGGGGGTAATTCAGACAGCCTTTGGTGGGAAATAGCGGACTACCGATTTACCACTTTTAGGACCACCGAAAAACCACTATGAGGTCAGCTGACCTAATTTGCGTTCAGCTCTTTCACACCGATTACTGCCCAAAGGCTGCCGTAATGCTGCCCGGTGGGAATCTGGTGGTGTTATGGTGGTGTTTTACGTCAGGTCACTAGGGGTCATCACCGCTACTTAGTCCTGCTTACCCACATAATGTACGTTATGTAGTCATGTCGCTTGAGAACCTTCTGGTTCTGTTGTTTATACCGGACTTTGCAGTTTCTATACATAAAGTTACAGGTCACCTATCCACAGTAAACAAAAGTTATTTATTAAAAGGATTATTTCTTAGAGTTGTATTTCCGGTATTTACATGCATGCAGGATCGGCACTGGAAATGTCGTCAGTCGGCCGCTTCATCTTTTGACTAATTATTATTACTTATATCTATTGTCTTTATTCCTACTTTCCTTTCAGAATTATTGTTTGGAAAATGCAACTACAGAATGAAGAGAAGTATGGTTGTGCAATAAAATCTGTGATGTTACTTAGCGTGCATTCTGCTAGGTTTCATTGACAAATAACATAAAATTTCGTCGTGTCGATATGTTCCTTTATATTTAATTGGAAAATACCGGTAAATGGTTCGCTACCTTTATCTGCTAAAAATAAATGGTTTGCTACAGTTGTACAGATAGTATATACTTGGGAGATAAGAGCATCGGCGAGGACTACCAACCACCACAAGGGTACTGCACACGCTATGGGAGATCCTGGGAGACAGCTGAGTTCCTTCGTCATCCACTCCTCCGCACCATCCAGCGACCACTGACGAAACCCTTTAGTTGACTGGCGGCAGAGGCGCTCGCCCAGCTAAAGCAGTCTCCAGGCACCACCGGCCCTTCTTAGGGCCACCAACATGATTTCCAAAAGATCTATAGTGTTATCCCAATAACGTAAAGAAGCTGGGACTTTTTTAGTTTGTAATAAAAGCGGTCATAGTTATTCTCATAATAGTAAGTAATCATTAAAATAATTTAGGCCGTTCCAGCAAAAACCGCTTTCTTGGTGGCGGCAGCTTTGCAGATCAGGTTACCGTTCCGGCAGGAAGGGCGGTGAAGCAGTGGCACTGGAAATATCGTCAGCCGACCGCTTATCTTTGACTAATAGCTGTCCTTATTGTCTTTATTACTTCCTTTCAGAATTGTTATTTTTCACAAATAGTACGAAAAACTGAATTACACAATAAAGGCTACTTATAAAGATTCCAGATGTGTTCTAAGTTTGTTCAGAACACATGTACCTCAGGACATCATACATGCACCTCAGGACATCATACATATACCTCAGGACATCATACATGTTACATGTACCTCGGGACATCATACATGTGCGTCAGGACATCATACATGTACCTCAGGACATCATACATGCACCTCAGGACATCATACATGTTAGGACATCATACATGCACCTCAGGACATCATACATGTACCTCAGGACATCATACATGTACCTCAGGACATCATACATGTTAGGACATCATACATGCATCTCAGGACATCATACATGTACCTCAGGACATCATACATGTACCTCAGGACATCATACATGCATCTCAGGACATCATACATGTATCTCAGGACATCATACATGTATCTCAGGACATCATACATGTACCTCAGGACATCATACATG